GTGTCCGGGAAGGGTTCATAGTTTCATAGTTGTCGATTTTCGAAAGAAATCAGTTCATGTATATTATTTCGTATATTTTTCATTTTATTGATTTTATGGAAACAACTGTTCATTAAAATGTTGTATCCTATGTTATAGGGCTTGTTTCTCTCTACAATTTCCTGTCTAACAATGTACCGTTTGTGTCCGGGAAGGGTTCATAGTTTCATAGTTGTCGATTTTCGAAAGAAATCAGTACATGTATATTATTTCGTATATTTTTCATTTTATTGATTTTATGGAAAGAACTGTTCATTAAAATGTTGTATCCTATGTTATAGGGCTTGTTTCTCTCTACAATTTCCTGTCTCACAATGTACCGTTTGTGTCCGGGAAGGGTTCATAGTTTCATAGTTGTCGATTTTCGAAAGAAATCAGTACATGTATATTATTTCGTATATTTTTCATTTTATTGATTTTATGGAAAGAACTGTTCATTAAAATGTTGTATCCTATGTTATAGGGCTTGTTTCTCTCTACAATTTCCTGTCTCACAATGTACCGTTTGTGTCCGGGAAGGGTTCATAGTTTCATAGTTGTCGATTTTCGAAAGAAATCAGTACATGTAATTATTTCGTATATTTTTCATTATATTGACTTTATGGGAAGCACTGTTCATTAAAATGTTGTATCCTATGTTATAGGGCTTGTTTCTCTCTACAATTTTCTGTCTAACAATGTACCGTTTGTGTCCGGGAAGGGTTCATAGTTTCATAGTTGTCGATTTTCGAAAGAAATCAGTACATGTATATTATTTCGTATATTTTTCATTTTATTGATTTTATGGAAAGCACTGTTCATTAAAATGTTGTATCCTATATTATAGGGCTTGTTTCTCTCTACAATTTCCTGTCTAAAAATGTACCGTTTGTGTGCGGGAAGGGTTCATAATTTCATAGTTGTCGATTTTCGAAAGAAATCAGTATATGTTATTATTTCGTATATTTTTCATTTTATTGATTTTATGGAAAGCACTGTTCATTAAAATGTTGTATCCTATGTTATAGGGCTTGTTTCTCTCTACAATTTCCTGTCTCACAATGTTCCGTTTGTGTCCGGGAAGGGATTATAGTTTCATAGTTGTCGATTTTCGAAAGAAATCAGTATATGTATGTTATTTCGTATATTTTTCATTTTATTGATTTTATGGAAAGAACTGTTTATTAAAATGTTGTATGTTATACCCTATGTTATAGAACTTGTTTCTCTCTACAATTTCCTGTTTTACAATGTACCGTTTGTGTCCGGGATGGGTTTATAGTTTCATAGTTGTCGATTTTTGAAAGAAATCAGTATTTGTATATTATTTCGTATATTTTTCAATATATTGATTTTTTGGAAAGCACTGTTCATTAAAATGTTGTATCCTATGTTATAGGGCTTGTTTCTCTCTACAATTTCCTGTCTCACAATGTACCGTTTGTGTCCTTAGGGTTCATAGTTTCATAGTTATCGATTTTCCAAAGAAATAATTAAAATAAATTAATTTCTTTCTGGGAGGGGTAATTACCTCCATTACCCCTCCCGTATATGCGCCCCTGCTAAACCAATGAATACTGAATAACAAACAAAAAATGTAATATACAAAATACCATGTGAATGGAATAAATTTTACATTGGTGAAACATCTAGAGCCTTAAATGTTTGAATTAAAGAACATAAAGATTATTTAAGAAAGGGAGATTTTCACAAATCTAAGATTTGTCAGTATTCGTGGGATACAGGGTACAGAATAAATTTTAACAACGCCAAAATTATAATGAAAGAAGCGATAGCCTCTAAAATAAAAATAAAAGAGGCTTTTTTAATACAATCTAATAAAAATAAATGTATTGCTCATGCATCTGTGGATGTTAATAATGTATGGCAAATGGCAATCGTTTCTTTGATTTTCTTCTTCTTTACGTGCCGTCTCTTTCGTGGAGGTTGGCGATCACATTGGCAAAATCTTCACGATTCTCGGCTTTCCTTATAAGTTCTTCAAAAGTTAGGTGAGTCCAGTTTCTGATCTTTCTCAGCCAAGATAGTTTCTTCCTGCCGAGACCTCTCTTTCCTTCAATCTTGCCCTTAACTATCAATTGTAAGACGTGGTATTTTTCATTTCTCAATATATGCCCTAAGTATGATGTTTTTGTTATTTGTATTATATTGAGCAATTCTCTCTCTCTGCCTATTCTGTTGTAGACTTCGGTATTTGTGATATGGGCTGTCCATGGAATTTTAAGCATTCTTCGGTATATCCATGTTTCGAACGATTCGAGGCGATTCATCTCTTGAACTTTCAGTGTCCATGTTTCTGCTCCGTATAATAGGATTGACCAAACATAACACTTAACGAGCCTAGTTCTCAACTCTAGGTCTAATCTGGGGTTCTGGAAGATGTTCTTCATTGATTTTAAAGAACATAAATAATAATAATAATAATAAACATAAAGAACATACGTAAAAATTAAAAATAATCATACAGAAAGTTTGAGGCTTTTCGGTTTTATCTTAGTAAGTAATTGTTATCAGGTAGTAATTTTTAATTTGGACGTTTAACTTGGATATAATGTAATTTTAACAGAACGTCAACGAAGTCTGACAAGTAGTTTCCGTTGGATTAACGCAGCATTGTTTACAAAAAATAAATATTTTATTTTGTAGATTTTCTTGTAGTGGCGAAATATCTATATAGACATTTTTTTGGAGAGATGAATCCGCCATATAGTAAAAAATACAAGAGATAATATCATTATGAATATTAAATTCTATAAATAAATATTTAAAACAAAAATCTTGTCTTTTTTTATTTCAGTTTATTTTATTCATTAGCAATCAACATATTATTTCTGAAATTCTTTCATTTTTCCTTTTTTTTTCTTATAAAAGTAATTTCAAATTATTTTTTCAAATTTCCAACTTTTCAATGTAACGCGGAAGAGAATTAATATAACAAGAAAATCAGAATGTAGAAAAAATATCTTTTTAAAAAAAATCTCCCTAAAAAGGTTGTCGGTGCGGTGCGTTGGACAGGAATAAATTATCCGAATTATTTTCCGTTACGCACATCTGCTCAAATATAATAATGTAATTTTAATTTTATTTTGAAACTTTTATGACGTGAGGTAAAAGGAGAATATATTAAAACATACGGGCCTAGGCAAGATGGTGTAAAATCCGTAATAACAATTCCAGTGCTGTAATTTAAAAAGAATAAAGTTGATGATGACAGCTCAAAGAAGAAACATTGGTTAGAAAATCTGATAACACCATTTTGTGAAACAAAAACAGTAGCAATAGTTAATATCAAATTTATTTTGTTATATCTACAGGGTGGCGCCTCTCATACGCCGCGGAAGCTCCAAGGAGAACGGTAGTCTATATCGAGATGAAATTTTGGCAGCATATGTAGCTTAACTGAACGCATTTTATAAAAATATATAGAACTATACAGGGTGTCCCAAAAAAAAGTTACACATCAAAGTTATGTTTTTTCGAATGGAACACCCTATATATTAATTGATTTTCGGATTCTAGGAAAAAAATAAAGGTGAGTTTTATTAAGGAAGCATATACCTAAAATCTAACGATTTTGACATATTTCACATTTTGTGAAAATGAAGAGTAGGTACATTTTAAATTTCGATAATAGCTACCTAAATTTTAGTGGACCTTGTATAGCTTGATATTTAAGTACAGTGACCATTTTATATTAAACCATATTGAAATTTGACCCGAAAAGTTATACAGGGTGAGACAAAATTAATATGGAACATTAGTCACTTTTAAAAGCAAGTTACTCCTTTATTTTAAATGGAACACCCAGTATATTTTTCCGGTGTGCAATGGGGAATCTTCAAAATATTATTAAGGTTGCCTACCCCTGAGACAAAGATTTTCCTAGATATTTTAATTTTTATGATTTTGTGTCTGTAGATCTTTATTAGATTTAGATTTTGAGAAGGCTTTCGATAAAGTTCAACATCATAGACTAATTGAAATACTTAAAGGCATGAATATCGATAGCCGAGATATCAGGATAATAGCAAATCTTTATTGGGGGTAAACAGCGAAGGTTATAGTGGACGACCAACTTTCTCTGATGAAGTAAATATTCTGATATATAGCGAATCAATTTTTCGGGAGGCCTTGACTAGTAGAAAGGAGGGCATCACTATTAATGCGCAGTTCTTAAATAATATCTAATAGATGGTACACCTATGGAGAGAGTACAAAAATATAAATATCTAGGCAGTTGGTTGACCGAAAACTTGGATCAATCAGCTGAAATAAAAGCTCGAATAGAAATAGGCCAGAGCAGCCTTTAAAAAACTCAAAAAATGTCTCTGCAGTGGAGACATCAACTTAAAGGTTAGATTAAGAATGCTAAGGGGTTACATATTTGCAACTCTACTCTATGGTTCAGAGGCTTGGACACTTAAAAATGCCGAAATGGAGAAGCTTGAGGCATTCGAAAGATGGTGTTATCGGCGTATGCTGAGGATTGCATTGACTGACAGGGTTACAAATGTAGAATTGCGACGCAGAATTCAGAAGGCCGAAGGGGTGATTAACACCCTTAAAAAGAGAAAACTTGAGTACTTTGGACACATAATGAGAGGACCTAAATATGCCCTGCTGCAAAACATAGTAGAAGGAATGATAAAGGGCAGCAGGAGCCAAGGAAGAAGAAGAACATCATGGCTCAAGAATTTGAGAGAATGGTTTGGAATGACTTTAAACCAGTTATTCAGAGCAGCCGTTAACAAAGTTAGAATTGACATGATGATTTCCAACCTCCATTAGGAGATGGAACCCGAAGAAGAAGATCTTTATTATTTGAAAAAATGTAGGGGTGACTGGATGGTGTTTTGGGATTGTTTTATATACCTATCATTACTCTTGCTTCGGCATCTTTGTATCTATTGGCAAGAGTTTCTATCTACAATATATTATTAATAATATTTCTTTTGTTTCAGGTAGCACGTCATTTTTATCACAAAGAAATGAAGATCGAGTTAGTTCGTGAGGAACTGCTCTTCGATATGGTCCACGTGACGTTTCAGTGTACGTTTGACAATAGGGCTTTTACACTAGCATCACTGACAATGACCAGAGAAGAGAAGCATTTGCCCATCAGTGCATCGGTACTCTTCGAGATTTTTCCATTTTGTATAGTATTCGGGTAAGTCTTGTTAAATCGAAATTATATTACCATAGAAATGCGTTTTGATTTTTAGAACTATATTTTCATGTTTTTTCTAATTTTCTCTAAAACGGTATGGACATTTTCAAAAGTATAAACGGAATTAACCATTTTAGAGCAAGCAAAAATTGTTATGAACAGTGCTTTTTTCTCAAAATGTCAATAATAAAAAAGTTTGTCTTCTTGTAAAGACAATCGTAAGGACAATATAGATTGAAATTTAAAATACGATTTTTAAGCGAAAATATCAAAAGTTGACATATGATATTCATTCTATTCAGAGTGTCATTTTCTATCGAAATAACGTAAAAATATTCCGAATCTGCTATTTAAAAATCAAAAGTTGTAGTTATTTCCGGTGAAACAGGAAGTGATAAAAAACAATTGAATACGTCATTAAATCCTAATTTATGTCATAAAAATGAACAATATTTAGGTAAGCTTTAATCGTATTTTCTCGTTTCCTCGAACAAAAACAAAAAACCGATCGATACACACACGCTTGACACTTTTGACAGTCCCGAAAACAATCCACGAATCCACAAAGCGTTCCAACGTTGATACTTTTTGCACCGTCACGAAACTATTCGAAGTCCGCATGCTAACAAAATGCGATCCCGAAATACTGGTTGGAACAAACCTAATGTCTACTTTGTCACTGATTTGCAGTGGACATAAATTATAAGCGCCAAACATAATTTATTAAAAAGTTATTTTTCCGTATATTTTTTTATCGTTCAACCCATTTGTTTATCACAAAAACACTTTCATCAGAAGAAAAATAAGGAGAAACTATTTAAATGTATAAAAAAGGCGTTATGTAAATTTAAAGAACATTTTAAATATATTTTTATTTTTTGCTTTTTAATTTTAATAATTAAGTTTCCTGTTTATATGGATCAGCTTATAAAGGTATTCCATTTGTATATTGTTTTTAAAAATTATTTATTGCAATATGACAATCACAGCCAAATAAATAATGAAAAGAAATGTATATTTTTAACCGTATTAAAATAAAATACGGCTGAAAATGCAATAATAATACTTTATTTTGCGTGAATATCATTTACAACAAATTTAATTTACAAATAAATAATAATAATCAAAGGAGACATGCAAAAAAGGAACTGACGACAATTAAAATTGGTTTAAATTCAGTTCCTGTCAGATCACGATATCAACTAGTATAAATATGTGTTATGTAGCTAAATTATTTTACTGTAACTTATCTACAAATATAATTAAATTATATAGTAATCCTATGACTAAGAAAATTAGAATGAAATTCAAAGAAATAAACACAAAGAAAAGTATTTTATACTAAAATAATTCTGAGGTAAAGAAAACTAAGAGGGAAGGGTCAAATCAAACTATCTAGAAAATGTTTTTTAAGTTTATTTTTAAATGCAGCGCTTTGAAGGTTTATCATTTCTGCTGGTAAACAGTTGTAGAGCTTGGAAATATTAAATGAGAAACATCTAGTGAACAATGCTGTTTTGTGAGGTAATGGAGTAATAAGTCCCTTAAATCTAAGGTTTAAGTTGTGCACATCTGTTCTGAATTTTATTTTATTCACCAAGTATGGAGGACACTTCTTAGAAATAACCCCATGAAATAAAACTAATGAATGCATCTTACGTCTGTTTTCGATATTCAACCATTTAGCTTCTTTTAACTTATGCGAAATGGGGGATCATATTTTCTTATACCATAAATAAAACGTTATGATACTTTTCGATTAAACGAATAATTTTCTATCCCTATATCTAGGTAAATGCAAAAAAACTGGAACATTCGAACAAAAGTAGATTGGTCAAAATGGAATATTTTGACCAAGAACAAAAAAGTGAAATGGAAAAAACGAAGAAATCAAGTTTGAAACAATTGTGTAAAAAATTTACGACTACACAGAAACCCTCTTTGCTTTAAAATTTTAGTCAGGTTTTCAACAATAAAAAAAAACCTCGGTTAGAGAATCTTTTAAAAAAGGACTACTTTAAAAATACTCTTAAGAATTTATGTCTACTACTTAATTTGAGTACCATTATATTCTGAATTCTTTTTAATCTAATTCAAACGATTTCAAATTAACACCAAGTCAAACTACATCTAAATTAGTTAATAAAGAAACATATGATGCAGCCTCTGATACCGGATAATTTTTTTTATTACCTAAAAATAGTATTGTAAAAAAAGATACATAATATTAATACTCTCTCTGGCTTATCGTATAATATTATATATATTTTAAATAACCATTTTTTTATTTTATTGTAATATATGTATCTAACGAGACATCAAAATAATGAAAAGAAAACTTTCAAAAAACAATTAAAGGTGTTTGTCTGGTGAGGTTGTTGGTTTGGCTCCTTATAATTAATATAATAAATAATTAAATGTAAAAAGAAATATAAATTACAACTCGATAGGCTTTTAAACTTAATCAAATTTCTGCTTCAGTAATTATAGAGAATTTTGTTAATTACTTGAGGTTTATCTGTAACTAGTGACCGTAAACACTAATAAGGCTTAATGGCATTTACAGGCTGGCTTTTTGTTTTTATGATATAAATATAATATATCACTATTTTAAATTTATCTGACTGTATAATTGATTAAAGAGACTTAACAAAATTAGATACTACTAGGATGACGCAACTGCATAGTTTTTAAAAAAATGTCTATATGGTATTTTGCCACTGCAAGAAAATCTACAAAATAAAATAGTTATTTTTTGTTAGGCAAATTTGTTTATCTGTAAACTTAGCTGCTGACAAGTAGCTTCTGGTCGATTAACGCAGCAGTGTTACAATAAAAAATAACTATTTTATTTGGTAGATTTTCTTGCAGTGGCGAAATACCCATACAGGATTTTTTGCATAGTTTTTGCACTACAGTAGTAAAAACAATTGTGTGTGCAAAATGTGCACATATTTGAAATGAAACTTCTTCATACTCCCGTCTGTCTGTCTGTCCGTCTGCCCGTTTGTCTGCCTTATGACTCTATTCGGGTATCTTTATCCACGTGTCGAGTTTGGTTCCAATCGACCAATAATTAAGAAAAATCTTGATGATTTCATTCATTTAGAGGTATCGGTTCTAAACGTCCAGGGCGTCATCCTTTAACCCTTCCCCAATTATGCCGAAATCCTTAGTCCCACCCTGATGAAGATTTAAACGAAATGTCCTATTCAACTTTGCTTGGTGGGACCGTGTGCACCGTCCGTCGCTCACATAGCCTACCCACCAAATTTGGTCGCGATCGGACATCAACTTTTGACGTTTCTTACGTCAAAATTAATTGTCACAGTGACACGTGTCGTACACGGTCAAGTTGGCCTTGCTCCAATCTATCGACATAATAATAATGATAATAGCTCCCGTATATAGCGTTTAACGCCTTGGGAGTAGCAAGGTACCGCTTGCCATACTAGAGCCGTTCGGTATACAAGGAAGGTAATGTGGCTAGCACTACGCTTCAACCGCCTATTATTACCTCAGGATTGTGAATCCCAAGTACTCATTTAAGGCTGAGTCGACCTAGGTAAAACCAAACCAAACTATTTTTATTTTTTAATAAAAATAGTCGGCTGATGCAATGCCGGGTGTGGGAATCGAACCCACTACCTTGAGATTAGTAGACGAGAGTCTGTACCTCTACGCCACTGGGCACCATAATGTCTATCGATATACCAAATTTAATTTAAATCGGGCTAATTTTTTCTAAGCCGTAGGCTGTCGCGTGACCTGTGTCGTGTCGCTTGTTGTGTCACAGCCTTGAAATTTTACTCGCGAATAGAAGTTTAACTTCAAAATATGTACTTATGTACTATCTTATTATTATCTACTTTTTAATCATAGTTTTAATAAAGAGCTGGCATCTGGTCTTCTTTCATCATCACTTTTGCATTGTTAAAGTCTACTTTGTAGCTTGTGTCCTATGAATGTTGATATATTTTAGATTTGCGAAAGTTCCGTATAAATTATTAAAAAATAATAATAAATTACAGTTGCACTCTAATTCACCATAATACACCAAAACACTTTTCCACTGAAGGGACGTTTTGCTATAACCATGTTAGCATTAAAGCTCATTTTTAATCATCTGCTGATGATGCTAACATAGTTAGTGAAACGCACGTACATCCAGTGCAAAAGTAAAGTGTTTTGGTGTATTGTGGTGAATTAGTGCTTTTATTTTGCTCTAGGGTTTGACTTCTCAAAAATTATCATTGATTGTCTTTGACACCGTTTTTTTCTATCTTATGGTATATGGCTGATAAAGTAAGGTATATAATATATATATATATATATATATATATATATATATATATATATATATATATATATATATATATATATATATATATATATATATATATATATATATATATATATATATATATATATATATATATATATATATATATATATACAAATAAGTTTATAACGTTCTTCGACGTCTTCTGATTTCCAGTCTCCATTGGTCTCTGTCTGTCCAGAGGTTTCGTCTTTTATTTTGCTCTAGGGTTTGACTTCTCAAAATTATCATTGATTGTCTTTGACACCGTTTTTTCTATCTTATGGTATATGGCTGATAAAGTAAGGTATATATATATATATATATATATATATATATATATATATATATATATATATATATATATATATACAAATAAGTTTATAACGTTCTTCGACGTCTTCTGATTTCCAGTCTCCATTGGTCTCTGTCTGTCCAGAGGTTTTCGTCTATTCCTCTTGTTCTGATGTCCCCGTCTATTCCTTCTCTCCAACTCCGTTTAGGTCTCCCTCTCTTGCGTTTGCCTTGTGGTGTCCAATTGAGTATTTTTTTCGGTATTCTGTTCTCTTCCATTCTTTGTACGTGCCCGTACCACCTTTGAGTTGGTTAATTTTGATGTCTTATGGTATATAATATAACTATTTTAAATTTATCTATTTTTATAGTTTATTATGGAGGC